TTAAATTAGCTCTTGTTGGGATATGGCAGGCCATTTAGAAACAAAGAAGCAGTTGAAGTTTTCTTTCCTTTGGAAAAAAAAAAACAAACAAAAAAAAACCCAGAAAATTTGCCTTCTTGTTGGGAAGCAGTTGTTAAAAATGATTAAATTTACGAGAAATGATATTTAAATAAATTTAACTTAATTTTACTTTTTACTATGTCGTTTCTCGTAAGGCGTCCTTACTTTCTGAATTCTCAAATATATAAATAGAGGATAGAAAAAACGAGGCTAGATATAAAACAGGCGAGAAGTAATGTTTAATAGAAAATAAAGGACCACCGCTTTACCGGTGGTAGAAAAACTAAACGTAATGCCCAGCCACCGGTTGAACGGTGGGTAAACACTTGTAACTATTTTTATATCTACCGTGAAACATTACATACCAATTATTTGCGAATTTTCACTCAGAAGCTCAGGCGGAAGGGTTAGAAATGTTTAGAAATGCAAGACTCAACGGGTTAAAATTTAAAAACTTTGAAAATATCTGAATCTGGCGAAAAAGGTGTAGAACATAATAGTAACAGTGGTACTCATGATTACAGGAGCTTTTGTCACATTTGCGAAGAAAATTGGAAAAAAAGCTGAAGAATCCGTTGAAGAGTTATAACAAATTGGGAGACAATAGAAAAGTAACCAAGGATGATGAGCAGAATGCTACAGTGGACGAGATTAAGGAGATTTCCTATCACATGATCTCCAGAGAAAGCCTAATTGGGTGGAGTTTTCAATTAGAAAAATAAACTGGTATTCGTAGTATTGGATGGCAAGCTGGCTTCTAAAATTCTAAACCGTTGAGAAAGCCACAGGAAATCTGTTATATAGGAATAAAGTGTCGCTATCGACATGTGAGTGAAAAACAAAGAAATTAAAGTGAGCAAACAAAGGCGATGAATTAATGGAATTAATCGGACCCTTTTTATTAATGAGGATGAACACATATATGGGAAATTGAGGGTGTGTCTAAATAAATCGAAATAAAAATATCCTAAAAAAAACGGAAAAATTTCTACTCTATAGAAAATTAAAATATGGTACGCTATTCTCTACTATTCACTGTACTATTTCAAATTTCAAATCACTATACAGATTACAGAAATCCGAGGGGAGTATTATCGAGCAAGTAACTAATAGTGAAGTGTTATTAAAAAAAGGCGTCTGAATCATTATTGTTTAATGGCGTTACTATAGTTATACTTTTTCTCCTCTCTCTTTTGAAAACCCATACTTACTCTTTATTCCTCTTCTCGAATAAAAAAAAAAAAAATAGATAAAGAAAAAAGCTATTTTACTATATTTTATTTCTTTTCTTTGCGATTACAAAATCTGTATTACAACGAGCATTACGAAAGTGACAAGGAGTGTTCGTTGACATCACAAAAGTGGCAATGAGTGTTCGTTGACATCACAAAAAATCCTCCAACTGTCTTTCATATGAAGGAATGGTAATTCGCAAATAAAATGACCAAAAAAGAAACAGGTGAAGAGATATCATCGCCCAAGGGACATAGCATTTTGAAAAAACATATATTTTCTAGTTGTTCAATGAAAACCTTTTACCGTATTTCTTGGTATATAATTCATGAGTTCAAAAATATAATATAAAGTATATAAAAAATGAAGGTTAAGTTCAAATACTGGTCGTCTAAGGAATTGAATAAAACAATATTAATAAAGAAATTAAAACATATATGTCTTATTTAAATTAGTATTATAATATGATGGGGTTGTTCTAGGCACAAGTACTGGTCATGTATATCATATTGTTTTTTTTTTAAATGAGTTTACCTTAAGAAGAGCAGTAAAGTCACTAAGACACAAGCACTTACTGTGTGTGGAAAAAAAAACAGAAACATTACTATAGAGCGAGAACAAAAGACGTGTAATCGGAACGACAATAGAAAGCTAATGACACAGCATTTAAATCAAGGGTCGGCAATCTACGGCCCGCTGGCCGGATCCGGCCTGCGAAGGCATTTTGACCGGCCCGCGAGCCTGATTACCAATGACTCTATTTTTAACAGACTTAAGACGAGGCTTTCGAATTAGACTATCTGCCAGTTATCTTTCATGAGACTTATTTTACCAAGTTGCGTTGCCTACGTTTAATGTCAAATAATGGATACATATTTGCTATGACCATTGGCTACATTAAAAGATAACAGAAGCGAAAGGAACGATAAAATGAAAGAGGCCAGGGAGGGACTGACATGCAAGGTAGCAGAAATCTAAAGACAGTTAAACATACGCGCATTATACATATATACCTCATGAATGTGTGGATGATACCACATGTGTACGTACGTAAGTGTATATGTTTGCAACTATTTGTACTCGTATGTATGGGTATATATGTGCTTCGTTTTTTGTTTGTGTGTGTGTGTGTGTGTGTGTGGTTCGTTTGTGGAACAATTTTCAATAACAGTTTCAAACCTACACGTCATAATTTCATCCAATTTTTATTTTTAATTTTTTTTCACTTTGAAGTATTTTGACGTTCCTTGAGGAAAAATAATTTTTGTTCGGTTTTTTTTTTTAGATTTTTTTTTTGTTTTTCTTATTTCTCAATGTTTATTTTCATTATGGTTTTAAATATTTAGGTTGACAGGGGTCTGCATATGTAATTTTCTTTAATTTTTTTATTAATGGCCTTCGTCCGGCCCGCGACCCGTCATTATAACACGATCCGGCCCGCGGGGTCGAATGAGTTGCCGACCCCTGGTCGGGGGTCAAGTAAATACCGCGTAAAAAATACTCTAAAGTAGTTTGTAGCACGTTTATTTATCATCTCTCAGTTGCGTCTCTGTCCTTGGACAGAGTGCGCTCAAGGACAGAGGAGCAACTGAGAAAATAATACTGAGAGGTGCCCAGCCCTGGGGAACAGCTGCCCGAGGCTGCGCCCTCCCATTGCACAAAAGGGAGGGATCTATGCTCGCAACGAAGCCAGCGCAACCGGCGGAGGCTGAGGGCAATTTTTGTTCCCGTCCCGGGTGTACGTGCTCGGGTCCCCACTTTAAAAAGGCCTTGTGTTACATCTCGTCCTGGTGGAGGAACGAGTAACACGTTTGTTTTTTTATCTCTCAGGTGCGTCTCTGTCTTTGGGCAGAGTGCACTCGCGGGCTTCTCTGTCGAAAAAGCGTTAAGTAATACAAATTACTACAAAGTAGAGTTTGAGCTTTTTACCCCACCCCCACCCCCCAATCGTTGGAGAATTGAGCTCCAATTTCGCCTTTATTCATATAGATTCCATAATATAGGCTTTACTTAATTAGCTGTTATGTTTCACTAACTCTTCAAATGTTGAATGTATAACTAATTCTAATTTCTATTTTCCCATCTTTACACTATTTTAATGTTATCTTATAAATTGTCCACTCTTCTGTCAACCATGAAATAAAAATAATTGTTTGTACGGAAAATGAGGATTTACGTACATTAAATCGTCTTTAAATTACGGGGCAGCAGAAGAATTATCGTTGAACTTTTAAAAGCTAAGCTTAAACATTAATTCAATACTTAAATGAAGCGAGTTCTTCTAATGTTTATCGATGCCTATCGCGTCTACTCTTCCCTAGCTAATGTGATGAGTGCTTAAATGCCGCCTAATAGGGCGGCTTTTAAGCTAGCTTATAATACAATATGCACTGGATACAAAAAAAAAGTTACACCCCTTGAACTATGAAAGCAACAATAATGGTTAGTATAATATATTAATATATATTTTTAACCTCGCATAATCTGGCAACCCTGAATCTGAGCTCAACGAAAATCGTTCTCTGCGCCTAACTTTTCTAGGGCTTTTGAATGAGCTATGAATTATTGAAATCAGACCATTGGAAGCGGAAGAGTTGCTTGGGGACACACACATTCACTGTACTTTATATATAAGATTACAGGATTACGGTTTTAGAATAGGTACAAGTAATGGTCACCTAATCTCAACTTCGCATATATGTCTTCCTTATTTACATTTAATTTACAATCTTATGGAGTTAGTTTGGATACAAGTATTGGTCGTCTGTGGTGTCTGGATCAGCATTAGCCTAACAGATATATGAACATCAAACACGGGTTGTCCCATAATAATTGGACACATTTTAAATGCAAATATATATATAGAATGTGTCCAAACATTATGGGACACCCTACACAAGTTTTCCCTATTTACATTAAATACCTGATCTTCCCATATTAGACTCAGGATATTTTTTAACCATATTTTTTACTGTCTATTGCCAATTTCTATAGTAATCACCATGACTAAAAATAATTTTTTTTCTTCATATTTCTCTACATTAAGCATTTCAGATCAAGAAATAAATTTAAAAAATCCATTTTCGTATATTATTATAAATTACGCCTGCATTTTGTGAATTTCAAAATCAATATTTAAAAAATTTTAAGAAATCACGTCGTATGAGCATATTTGTTTTTGGCCTCCGTGGGAGGATCAATTTACAATGAATTTGCATAGAAATTTGAACCCCCTATTAACTCTAATAATATTAATAAAAAAAAATGCTTTTAATATTCGTGAATCTTGATTGTCTAAATTTGGTTGATTTTGTTTAACGGCATATCAACACCTCTATGGGTTATTTAGATTATGTTCGAAAATAATTGTTCGAAAAGAATTATTCTAAAAAACATTTATTCGAATTGTAAATTGTTTGAATGAAAATTAATCAAAAGGACAATTGTACTAAATGATAATTTTGGGAAATGCAAATTTCTTCATTGTAATTAAAATTTAGAAATTAAAAGATTATTCGAAATACAAATATCGTTAATAAAACAATTTAATAAGAAAAACTCCTTATAACCTTAAGTTATATGGTACTGCAAATAGTCAAATATTGAAAAGTACTTGTTAAAGGAATAATAATATCGATAACAATAAGAAAATATATATACAAAATTAGATTTTTTAATAAAAAAATTTATAAAGAAAAGAAAAAATTCTAAAGAAAAAAAAAAAAAAGAAGAAAAAAAAAAGAAGAAGAAGAAGAAGAAAAAGAAAGAAGAAAATTTTGGAATTCTAAGATTTTTTTTAAAAAAAATATGATGAAATGAGAAAAGAAATAAAAAAAAGTTATTTTAAAAAAGAAGAAAAGAAAAAGAAGAAGAAGAAGAAGAAAACTTTAAAATAGAGGAAGAAAAAAAAAATGATGAATGACGAAAACATTGAAAAAAAAAAATAAATGGAAAGATGATTGGAAAGGATGATAATAAATTTAAATTTTTTTTGAAAAAAAAGAAGAAAAATAAGAAGAAGAAGAAAAGAAGAAGAAAATAATTCAAAATTTGAAGAAGATCAAAAATTTTGTTGAAATAAAAAAGGAGGATTTAAAATTAGGAAAGAAGAAGGAGGAGGAAAAAGAAGGAAGATTATTTAATCTGAAGGATATTGAAAAAGATCAGATCTTTTGAAGATAAAAAAAAATGAAGGAAAAAAAAAATAAAGACGAAGATTAAAATAGAAATGGAAAGAATTTGGAATTGGCGGAATAGATAATGAAGCAAGAATAAAAAAGAAGCGGCCATAATAAATGTAATGAATTAATTTACGACTTAAAATCTTTGGCATTGAAGGAAACACGCAGTGTAGACGGTCTGTTAACATAATACAAGACGATCGTACAATCATAAAGATATTAAAGCTCGTTACTCTTGGACTTGAAAAAGATAAAAAAAAAAAGGCAAAAAAAAAGTCAGTGGCAAAAAAAAAAAGAAATGGAAAAAAGAAAAAATAAACAAATCTGTCATGAATTTTCATTTCTTTTTATTATTTCGTAAACCTAAATTAAAAAAAAAAATTTTCAAATTTAAAAAACAAAAAAAAAGAATTTTTAAAAAAGTCAATAAATAAAAAAAATTTTGAAATTAATAATAAAAATAATAATAATAATGGGAAGAATTTATGATGGTGAATTAAATGGAAAAAAAATGCATGAAGAAAATAAAAAAAATAATTAAAAACAATAAGAATAAAATAATTTAATAAAATAATAATAAAAAGGAATAAGAAATGATGGTGAATATGATGGAATTTTTAGAAGGATAATTTAGAACAAATGAAAAAAAAAAAAAAATTTTTAAAAATAATAATAATAATTTAATAATAATAATAATAAAAGAAGAAGAAGAAGAAGAAGAAGAAAAAAAAAAGGAAATGAAAAAAAATTAAAAAAAAGAAACCCAGAAAATGAAACAAAAAAGAAAAAAAAGCCACTCAAAAAATAATAATAATAATAATAATAATAATAATAATAATAATAATAATAAATTTTTTTGATTTTTGAATAGGATGAAAAAGATAAAGCAGAAGATGATTTTATTTAAAAAAGAAAGGAATATTTAAAAAAATAATAATAAAATAATAATAATAATAATAATAATAATGAAAACTGGAATAATAAGATGATATTAAAATAAGGAAGGAAATGAAGATAAAAAGAATTTGGGAAATCAAAGAAAATTTAAAAAATAATAAATATTAATAATAATAATAATAATAATAATAATGGGAAGAAAAATGAATGAATAGGAAAAAATAAAATCTATTTTTTTTATGAATGAATTTTTTTATAATTTTTTAATGAAACAATTAAAAATTTTACTACTATCTACTACTACTTTAATAAAATAATAATAATTAAAATTTATCTGATAAAAGTTTTATATAGCGCTCATGGTAAAATTAAATTTTTTAAAGAATTATTTCAATGCCATGAAATAAAATTGAAAAATTTTAACGTTTTTCTTTCCTAATGACATTCAACAAACAAACATTTTATTGAACTTAAGTACAAAACACACAAACTTTTTTTAAGAAACAAAAAAATGAATAATTTTACTCAAATTTTTTTAATTTTTGCATTGATTTATAAAACAGCTCTGACAGATTCTTTTTATTTATATATATATATATATATATATATATATATATATATTGTTTTTCGAAATTTAAATTTTAAATTATTAAAAAATGAAAATAACACTAACATTTCATTTTAACAGATATATTTACTAAAATTATACAAAAATATTGAAATACTAAAAATTTAAATTCATTCAAAAAAAAAAAAGGAAAATTTTTTTCAATCACGGCCTTTTTCTTTTCATGAAATCTTCTGCAACTCTTCTGGACGATCTCCTTGTTTTTCCATTTTGGTGATTTCTTTAAATATTTAAGGAGTTTTGTTAAAAAATTTCTAATATTTAATACTGCGCATCAACACATGAAATAATCGAAGTTTTGGCCGCCTGGAGATTTACGAATTTCAAAAATAAGTTTTTACGTGGTCGCAGAAATTTTTATCTGACAACAATGACTTTTTTAAATTTTTTAAAAATGTATTTTCAGAATCCTGTTACCAGACAAAATCTTCAGTTTTCATACATTTTTTTCATTTTATAAGAGCTATACATCCAAAAGGCAAATTAAATAGATGAATAAAAATAAAAGTTGTCAGCTCTAAAAAAACAAATTCAAGCGATTTTAAATTAACAAAACAAAACGATAACTTGAAAATTTTTCCGAGATACTTTCTTTTTTTATCTTAAAAAATAAGATATTTCCGAATTCCTTTTATATAAATTATTTAGATTGATATATAAATATTAATAATAATAAAATGTATTATATTGGAGCTTTTCTTTAAAATATAAATAAATAAAGAAATAAAAATTGCCGTTTTTATTTTTAAAAAAATTTATTTTTATGGTTTTTTTTTTTTCAAAGATGGTATTTGATCCATTTTATACTACTTTCAGTCGACAAAATCAAAAACAAACAATGCGAATGCGCTTAAAAAAAAAATATAAAAAAATAATTTTTTGCCAATCACAATATATATATATATATATATATATATATATATATATATATATATATAATATTGAGAAATATGCCAAACATTTATTCTTCTTTTAGAAACAAATCTTTCCCAATAAGAAATTGCCATGCATAATGAACTATTATCCAACAGAATAAATTAACGAAAGTTTATTTTAATTTTTTTCCAAATAATTAGGTGTGAAAAAAATCAAGAGAAAAAAAGGGAGAGATGGAACATTTTTAGAGAGAGGAAGAGATTGAGAGAAAGAGGTTGCAAAAAAAAAAATAAGAAGGAATGATAAAAAGAGAAATTAAAAAATTTTTTGAAATGAAGATAAAAATAGGGTATTTTTGAAGTGAATGATATATATATATATATATATGTCCTTTTTCTTATAATAGAAGAAAATTTAATATATATATATATATATATATATATATATATATATATATATATAAAAGAAATTAAATAAGAGGATAAAAATCCAAAAGAAATCAATCAAATTTAAAGTTTTGAATTTGTATTTATCTGATTTTTGGAAATTAGACGACCTTTGATTACGATTCCAAAAATAAAATAACCATGGAATATGTTCAAAAATTTTTTATATATATATATATATATATATATATATTATATATATAATTCAATTAAATTCGAAGCCACTAGCAAAAAGGGTTAAAAAGATTAAAAGAAACGCAAGGGGAATTGAAAAGGAAAGGATGAAGAGAAGGAAAAACAATAGATCAAGGCATCTGGAAACGTCGATTGACATTACATTTGAATATTTTGGAGATTATAGCTATAAGGGAAACAGGAAAAGAAAAATAGTTCCGCAGGCGAATTTGCGAGACATTTTTTTATTTATTTAGAAGTTAAAGCGGCTACATTTAACAGTTTCGAAGTGAAAGGGTGAGAGCGAGATTTATTTTTATTTTAGAAGGCATAAATAAAATGAATTTTTAAACCAGCGAAAGCACCTCATCGGATTTAATACCGTGGAAGTATTTATTTCCCTTGTTTTTTCAAATTTTGTCACGTTTTTGAGTAGAAGCAACTGTAGAAGATGCCAGAAAACGGCCAGTTACATTGCATATCCGTCTCTGGATTTTATAAAAGGAAAGACAAGACAATTTTTAAGGGCTCCAGACCATATATGGCACTAATACTCCATATTTAATTGAATTACGTTTTGTATATACACAAATTTTTAATTAAAAAATCCATAAGAAGATATAGGATTATAAATCTTACTGTTATTTCTTATATATTTTATATATATCAGGTCATCCCATAAGTTCTGTCCGAATTTTGAATAAAGAAAACAAGTGACCAAATGTTACATTTAATTACAGATTCAATCAACAATGTATTTTCCCTGATTATCTATGACTTCCTTCCATCTATTAACAAGCTTACTAATTCCATTACTGTAAAAATTCTTTTTGGCTTTGATTCGAAGAACTCACAAATGTCAGTTTTAACCTCTTCCTGTGTTACAAAAGCTGTTTCTTCCAAATGATTCTGTAAGCTACGAAACAAATGGTAGTCTGAAGGAGCAAGATCAGGAGAATAAGGTGGATGAGGAATTTTCTCCCAACCAAGTTCTTCGATCTTTTGTGACGTGATTCTTGCTGTGTGGGGTCGCGCATTGTCCTGATGAAACATCACCTCTTTTCGATTCACTAGAGCAGGTCTTTTTTTTTTTTCCTCAAAGCTTGGTTCAAACGCTCTAATTGCTGACAGTATATTTGAGCATTAATTGTTGCATTAGGTGGTAAGAATTCAAAGTGGATTATTCCTTGGCGATCCCACCAGATTGAAAGAAGAACCTTTTGCCCATGAAGTTCCCTTCTCGGCTGTGGCTGGGGTCCTTCCCTTTACCAAGCCACTGTCTACGACGCTTAACATTTCGATAAAAGATCCATTTTTCGTCGCCAGTCACAAGTCTATCCAAAAAAGGTGAAACAAGTTGGCGAGAATGGAGAGAAGAGCAGATGTCAACTCAGGATTTGAGGTTGTTTTCAGACAATTCATGAGGCACCCATTTTCCAAGTTTAGGAACTTTTCCAAGTTGTTGAAGATGACGATGAACAGTTGTATGGTTTGAACTGAGAACCACTGCCAATTCCTCAACTGATAAAGCAGGATTTTCTTCAAGGGCTGCTTCAAGAAGCTTTTCATCAAACTCAACTGGACGTCCGGTTCGATCTTCATCTTCAAGGGTGAAATCTCCACCTCTGAATTTTGCAAACCATCTTCTGCAAGTTCTTTCATTCACACATTCATCTTTATAAA